GAAATGTTCTCTCTCTCTGTCGGAAATCCATGTCATCGTTTATTAGCAGCGGTGATAACCCTACACCGGCGTCCTCGTATACTGCGAGGTCCTTTTCGTCACTCACCGCTGATCCGCAAGTGAGAATGGCTATGGTGAGCAGTTTGTGTATAGGGATTGGGATAGGACTGTTTTTCAGGTCGTGATGTGTCCGACTGGTGATTTGGTGGGACTTGCTATGATGCAATGAGGGTTCGCGATTGCTTCTTTTAGCCTTACTCCTGTTGTATCTCGTCGTGTACTATGTATGATTGTATCCTTTACGGACTCTGCGTATTGTGGGATGTACCGATGAGCCGAGGGACCCGAGCTTGCGTTGTCCTGGTCTATGACTCCAGCTCTTCTTATGGAGTCGCTTCAAGGTATCATTGGAACAAAATGTTGGATGTCGACATCTGAACATCCCACCCCACATGCACATGGCAGTGTCCTTGGTGGGCCTTCACAACTTTTGACCACCGACCACGGCAGCACACGACAATGTCGAGCAATATCGTGTCTTGCAGATTTTTACAGCCCTTCAAACTAGACAAGTTGCCAATCGATGTCCTCTATCATTTCATCAGCTTTCTAACTGTCCCAGAAATGATCTGCCTCGAAAGAGAAAGTTTACAATAAATTTTACTCGGTTTATCAGAGTGTTCTGATGTTAGCGTTCAATCCAGGTGTCTAAGCTCTTCCGAGAGCTACTCTGCGCGAGGACAGTCTGGAGCAACGCGTACCGGCTGTCCTTACTCTCTCGTCCCCCTGGTCCATTCTGGTGGCAGCCAACGGAGGCTCTGAGAGGCTCACTCGTGGTCAGCGCGAGAGTAGAACGTTATTGGACCCAGAACGTCGCGTCTCCGACAGCAACCCGCAAGATCATCCTTAGTAAGGGCGTCCTGCGAGCTGGCGCGGAGCTCTTACTCGGGAGGTGGGTTGTGGCCACGGAGGGCACAAAAGAGCTTGTGGTCTATGACGGGGACTCTACGGACGACAATATACCTCCCATCCCTGTTTTCCGTGCATTTTCTTACTTCACTCACATAAAATGCGTGTCTACCATAGACGCGGATGGACACCCATTGGCTTTTATTATCGCAGGAGATGGCATTGATCCGGAATCAAGGCTGGTGTAAGTGACATCATTGTTGCCCTGGCACCTCAATTCTCTGAATTTGTTTTCAGACATGTGTTCCAGCTGTTCACTGGGACCCAGACACCGTTAGAGGTCAAACTGGTTCTGAGTCATCCAGTCAAGTGGTCGACATCGTGGTTATCTGCCACTGTCAACGCTAAAGTACTCTTGGTTTGGGCCGGACAATATTTCTCCCGAGACACTACTGAGTGCTTCTGCATGGCTTTGGGCTCAAATCAGCTCTGCCGAACCCCCTCCCCTCCCAAGGTACTGTTGAGCTTGGTCACTCGGGTGCGCGTGTCCTCACAGCATTTCTCAAGCTCTCAGATTTTCAGTTTATCAGCGCAGCCTTTATGGCGTGCACGACGCACCTGCTGGTGTTTTGGATGTTTCAGATCGGTACCGGTTTAGCGCAAACAGTTATCGAGGCATTTCCTGTTCAAGCGGACGGATCGCAGGAGGCAGTAGATCTGGTGGTAGCGTCCCACCAGGGATACTACTCTGGGCTAATGGGTGTTCCAACCTTACTACACGATCCTGCCGTCAATCCTACTCTGGATTCGAAGCGTCTCGCCGTGACTTTTCTGGATAGTTCGGACGTCGAGGAACATAGGGCCTTTCACGGTGTTGGGTACCTCACCCTCACTCCATCCTTGCCGTCGAAACAAAACGACTCCGAGGCGGGAACAATCCTTTGGGAGCGAGACATAAGCTTCCCTGCCGTCTTCCCGAGGCCATCTTATTTCCACACTTTTTCGAATGGAAGTCTGAGGATTCTAACTACGACAGGGGCCATACGTTCTCCCCAACTTCCCACAATGAATGCTTTCACTCTGACGCTCGGAGGACCATCCACAACACTTAGCACACCAACGTCCATCATACTCCCTTTCGCCATATCCACTATAATAGGACTAGACGGGTCTCGGGGACGTCTAGTATGTACAAGAAGTTTTGGTATCAATCCGGAGACTCACAGATTCAATCCGATCTACATCGAGATCTTTGATTTTATCTGAATACTCCTTGGCCTCAGCACGAAGGTGACGGCGCTGTGCAAACTGATGTAGAGACTTGTAACCGGAAAGCCACAGATCCAGTCTCACTTGTTATAAGTACATATCTACGTGAAATACTCGATTGAATCCTGGGCTCAATTGCAAGAACCCAAACCCGCAATTGACAGAACAAAAGGCCGGTTCTGAAGGTGTCCGGCAATTTCCGCGAGCACAAATTTTGCCGGGGTGACTTGCTGCAAACGTTGCACCCATCTTTTGCAAAAGCTGTCCGACGTGAGCATAGCGGGCGAAGTCGCTCGAGATGGGGCCAGAAGCCGCTGCTTACCCCAATGGCTTGGCTCTGCTCAGAAAGCTGGTCTGAAAACGCGTGACCCAGCTCACTGCCCGGCTATCTTGGTGTGTCAATGTATGCGGTATACAGGACTCAACGTCCCAAATTTTAACAGTAGCACCTGGGATGTCGACTCGTGCACTCGTCCTCCACCCATCCATCCGTGTGGCCTATATTCATCCCCATCGAGCGTACGCTTTTGAATATAGCAAGCGTCCGTCACTTCGAGGCTATCCACATCCCTCCTCTAGCCAGTGCGAATATTATCCGATATTTAACATGAGTTAACATGTTGGCTTCCTGAAAGCAGTCTGACCATGGAGCATGTTGAGGATGCGTTGCAATGGCAAAATAAGTTGTAAGCACATAAACCAATACATTTCATTGGCCATCACTAATTTACTGTGTCAAGATTCATCCCGGGTTTCGATCAGCATAAACCGATATGCTACCCCGAGTCCCCTGCCAACCAGCGAAATCACAGCCGTATACTAAATTTCTGTGCACGTAGCGAATTGGCATCTGCGGAGTTCCTAAACTCGTCCACGTTATCACGAACTTCGATCGCGCGGAAACTGTCCTCCCCAAATTCTGCCACCCTAGACTCGTACGTCTTTGCTGCCCAATACCTGACGGATGCCCAGTCGCCGTGGGCTGAGCAGATCTTCGCGGCGTCGTTGGTGAAGTCGTCTGCATCAGCGGCATATCCCTCCTCTTCCAACAAACGAAGCGCGCGGACAATGGCGTGGAGGCGCAGGGAAGTCTGGCTGGGACCATAAAATGGGATGCGTTCCCAGATCTTCGCGACCTCGATCCTTCGCGTGTCACTGGCTGCACTTTCTTGACGCGGGAGCGTGCAAACAGCACAAGCGCATGTGAATCCGTATCTTTGAAGCCTCTTTTGCCTGTCCTTCCGGCTGCTACCATACACATTCCTGCCCCCAATGTAGGACACGAAGATTTCCTCTTCCGCCTGGATCTCGCGGAGTGCATAAACACGCTGGCGACCACTGCCCGCATGCCACGAATAGCGTGCATTGGGCGAGCATGAGTGGTTAAACCTGGATATCGCAAGGCACAGCACGATGCCGTCCTGGGTGTCTATCGCATTTGTCTGGTGGATACCGAGGAGTGGGTCTCTTGATAGCGTAGGATCTTGGCTAAAAGAATTCCTGAGTGACTTATACTGCTTGAGTTCAGCTTCAGAGAGCTTGCTGATTGCCGAATGGACCGCGGCCGTACTGCTGTGACTGACGCGGTAGAGAGGACGCTCCGCGACAATGAGATCACCGCGTTGGTATCCATCGTTAGCAAATGCGCCCTGGCCTCTTTTACCTGCTTCCCACACTCCAAAGCCTAATGGATTGGGCGACGTGTTGCCCTGTGTCACTGACTCTGTGTTTGTTGCAGCCGACACCTCTGGTGCACCTGCACCCGAAATAAGGGAGTTCTCCATGGCTGCAAGGTCTCTAATCATCTCCTTGGACTTTTGTATTTCTCCGCCAGCTTCGAGGAAGCCTATGATATCTGTGAAAAAGGTATCCATAAAAGCGGTAAATTGTCTACATTGCTTCAGTAACACATACCTCGTTGTGCTCCAGAGACATTGTGCAGCTGAAGTCGAGCATGGAATCGTCTATAATATGCCTTAACACTTCCCGGCGCAAGCCCCAGGGCTATCGTGGCATCGTCTTCCGCTTCCTGCCATCTGTTACGAGCGATCATCGATCGTTTGCTCTTCTGGAGAAATATCAACACTAACCTTTTGAGTTTCAGATTGGCCATGGATCTGTTTAGGGGGTACGCAATGTCCGAAGGATCCAGCGACATCGCGAACGTGTACTGCTCATGTGCAATGGCGTACTCCTCCTTCCGGAAGGCGGTGTTCCCCTAGTGAAGGTGGTGCAACGTCGATAATCATCGTATCGGAAAGGAGTAGCTTTCTGACCTTCTCCTTTGCGAGATTGGCTTGAGTAGCCCTGGACATGATTTCGGTCAGTTTACGGAAACTGGGGCAAGTACCTGGACAGAGGATGGCCTGTCGCGATTCTTATAACGATGTGGATCATCATGGCCTCGTGTTAGAGGATCAGGCGCCCGGCATCCCTCTACCTATTAGGATCCGCACCATAGACGCCAGGTCGCTTCTATTCTCTTCTTCACCTGGTAGGGTTAACACCGACTGGGCTTGAATCATGTCCCTCTAGGCCCATACCCACCAATTACTAGTACCCACCTTCAAGTTTTGGTCGAGATGAAGTGTGTTCACTCATAGCTAACAACTGCTGTGTTCGAGGTCAAATAAGTGATTGGTTAACCACTTAACATGACACAGTGTCACTTGATCCAGTTGAACGAAGAGGGCCAGTTTCCCTCGAGGAACAGGATTCCGGAGTAATGCATGGACAAGCGCCTTATAATTAGGGGCAGACGTTATGCGGAACAAAGACCCTGCGGTTGATCTACTGAATGATTGATACGCGCCGGTATTCATGGTTAGATGGCCGAGCGGTCTAAGGCGCCAGACTAAGGCTTACATAAGCATATCTGGTCTCTTCGGGGGCGTGAGTTCGAATCTCACTCTAATCATGTTTTTTAAATCGCCGTCGACACAATACATTTCTGTCACATCTTCGTCAATGATCGAGACGGTATCGCCCTTTTTCACCTTCCAATCAGACTCAGAGTCTTCCTCCTGTGTTCGACCACATCGTCACCTCCAACAATAGCCCTGTATAGGGTACAAGTATGGTGCAAGATGCAAGCGATCAAGTGGAATACATTCACACTACAAAACTGAGGAACCCAATGCCTGGCCGTGAGAGGACAATGGCCCCCGCGCAGACTTATCGCCTACCCGTTGCGTTCTTCCGGATTTGTACGATTCTATCGTCACATCATCGTCCTTCCTCGATTCCAGAGCATGGATCTGCTCGCATCTCCGCCGCTTCGATCGCCAAGACTACCAGAGGACACGTAGCCATAAATCAGTCGTGGGTCTTTCACGAGGGCCTTTGACGTCGAAGATGGGGCTGAAAGGGGTATAAGTAGGATGTGGAAGCGACTGCGAGGAGCCTAGAGTGCATTTGTTTACGCAAGAACACAGACGTCGTGAATTCAACTTGGATGGGAATGTCATGGCGAGCGCTGGGGATATTGATCATTGCCATCACTTCCAACGACCATCCCGCATTTCCGTCTGAAAGACTCTCCCCCTAGCATAGTAGCTTCATGTTCGCATGACAAGAAACGGTTCTGGAACATCCGGGTTTTCATAAGGAGCGAGTGATGCCTCCATGACCATATCTCCGTTGGCTCTCACACTGACGGATCTGTTAACCTGCTCGCCATTCAGATATAATCCCACTTTACGAAGCTAGCTTAGTACACACCTGCCAAACCCGCGTGTTACAACCAATTTGCGTCATCGTAGGTGAGCACTGCCGCACGACGGACAGAACATCGTGCATGAGAAGTGAAGGGGCAACATGTTCGCTCGACTCGAGCGGGAAGTTGACGTGGGCAATGCGTAATTTGCGTACACGAGCAAGGCATTGTGCAACAGCATCCTGTGCGGACGTCAGCCCAGGAATGTCCACGTAGTTTGTATAAGAGTGCTAACCAGATCGTGCCGCTCTGCAACCACAAATATCTGCTCGAGAAGGGAGCAACGAGAGCATATGTCGAGCAACGCGTTAATGCTAATTTGCATACGATGGACCGACAAGCGAGTAAGATGCTTGGCATGGGTATTGACAATCGACCTCCAGAACTCGTCAGTCACCTGCACTTTGGTTAAAGGAGAGGTGGCATAAATCTGAAAATTCTCCAAGGATGCAACAGACAGTAGTGCGGTGACATCGCCCATCCAGGTCTGCAACGGCGTCTGTGCGTCGACGGTCACAGTAATGGCCCGAAGTCTCCTGATGGCATCGTTTTTAGAGCATTGGCGAGTGAACTCGGCCATATCCTGTTGTTGAATGGACAAAAGGATTTCTAAGAATCTAGCAGTACGCACAAAGGAATGAGATAGGCCCTCCAATCCTAATCCTACCAGACCCCTGCGATTGGTTGTCACTAGGGCTCCGATACCGTGATGTGTCACTTTTGGACAACCGGTAATATGAAGGTGATCGAGCTCAGTCAAACTGGGCGCAATGTGTTCCAAGAGAGTGTCAGTCAGAAGGGGGGAGGACTGGATATGAACCATCATCGTCAAGTCAAAGGGTTTATTCTGAAAATCATGTGTACATACCTTGAAAATTAGGGTGAGATTGCGAAGCGTAGCACCCGTCACAGACATCCACGAAGGCAGCACCTCGAGAACATGTACGCTCGGCATTATCAGCGATATCTTGGACAGACGCTGGAACTGGACCAGGGTGATCGGGTTATAGGCCCCCGTGTCGTGGCCGTTAATCTCTAGTTCTTGTAGATTATGACAAGTCTGGAGCGAACAGAGTACAGCAGAGTTGATGGAACCGTCGCGGGTCCAAGTGCACGATCTCAAATTGACACAATTTTGGATGCCGCGAGTGCAGAGATCCATCAGGCCGGTGTGCACTGATGATGACAGCGCCTTTGGGAAGTCGCGGATTTCTGGTGATATAGCATTGGTAAGTAGGTAAGTACGGGCAGTACCCTTGAGTGACATAGATACCGATTTTCTCGACAAATTTGGCGAGATGCGCGCATTCAGCAAGCGTTCTGAATAGGAGAGCAATCTTTCGTAGACACCCAATATACTTAGAACATTTATTCATCTGTGACACGGTTGCCTCACCTTGAGTTTCTTGTGCCATGCGTAAATGAAGACTCGCTGATAGAGCCTCGGAAGGGCGAAGGTGTGGAATGATCGGTTCACCAGACATAAGACGGCCAAGTGCTGGGGCCGCACAACATGGCTGAAGACGAGAGGTAGGAGCTCTAGCGGCAGATCGAGGAACTGGACCATGATCTGTATTCAACTCAGGTCACATCCTTTGTACCAGTGTCCTCCGTCAGAGCTCCGATTCCGGTTCTCATGTTCACCAGCCAATGAGAGCCGCATTACGAATCACAAGCGCAAAGCTGACTAAGCGAGCAGTGCACTTGCAAGTTTAGGGCACTGGAAATTCACCAAGTCCATTAACTCAGTTGCACCTTGGCCTCTTGCTATCATGTCTGGCCTCGACGATGAGTACGCAATGCATGAGCCCGAGTCTGACCCCATTCAACTGGATGATGAAGATGCAGATGACGTGCAGCCGGAGCCAGCACAGAAACCAAAGAAGCCGAGGGCGTCCATTTACGACGCTTTGGATGACGAAGAAGATGAGGAAGATGAAGACGACGAGGAAGATGAGGACGACGAGGAAGATGCCGGGAGAGGGAAGAAAAGAGCAAAAGTGCGCCGCTCCGGCCGTCTTGTGATTCTAACTATCTTAACCAAGACCTATTCAGCACCGTCACAAGAGGCCCGCTGTTAATCGTTTCCTCGATGTAGAGGCCGAGGTGGACACGGACGAGGACGAGGAAGAGGAAGAAGACGAGGCAGGAGGAGGTTTGTTCATCGAAGCCACAGCACACAATATGCTGAACGCCCTTCTTTTTAGACGAATTCATAGCAGATGCAGGTATTGAAGGCGACGAGGACGACGTGAACCGGAGAGCTGCAGTCAATGCACGCCTTGATCGCCGAGAACGTGAGCTCAACGATCAAGACCTGGCCAAGATAGCACAAAATTTGCATGAGCGCTATGGACGTGCAGCCGTTCGGTACACGGGCGACATGAACGAGGTTCCACAGCGACTACTGATACCATCTGTTCACGATGCGAGCCTCTGGCAGATAAGGGTTAAGGTACGTTTCCCCAGGTCAGTGAATGCGCTGTATTGGTACTGATATTTGGGTACAAAGCCCGGCCGCGAACGGGACATCGTATTCAGTCTCATGCGGAAAGCTATTGACCTAGAGTATACCGCTCAACCTCTGTCAATACTGTCCGCTTTTCAGCGCGATTCTTTGCCGGGGATGATCTATGTCGAAGCTCGCAGTGCTCAGCAAGTGAACCAGGCTTGCAAAGGCCTCGTAGGCGTCTACCCTAGCCGCGGGATTACGCTGGTCCCAATTGAGGAGATGGCAAGCTTGCTTCAGATCAAGAAGCAAGATCTGACCGTCACACCCGGTAGCTGGGTTCGCATCAAGCGCGGCAAGTACCAAGGTGACCTTGCGCAGGTGATGGACATCACGGAAAATGGCGAGGACGTCGGACTCAAATTCATACCGCGTATCGACCTAAATCCCAAGGATGATGCGAGCGTCGACGGGCGCAAGCGGAAGAAGGTTGGCTCTGGGCTCTCAACGATGCGTCCCCCCCAGCGATTCTTCAACTACGAGGAAGTCGTCAAAGTCTATGGGCGCAAACAGGTCTCGAAGCGCAACCAGGTGTATGTCTTCCAGAACGACACCTATAAGGACGGCTTCATCGAGAAGGACTTTAAACTGAATGCACTCGTGCTGGAAAACGTGAATCCTACTCTCGATGAGATCACACGATTCACGCGAGGTCAGGATGGTGCCGAGAACGAGAACCCCGTCGATCTCTCAATTATCGCTGAGGCCTCTCGCAAGGCTGCTATCTCCGTCTTGCAGCCCGGAGACCACGTGGAGGTTTTCGAAGGCGAACAGGCGGGTGTGCATGGTGTTGTCGACTCCATTAACCAGGACGTTGTCACTATCACTGCGATAGGCGTTGAAATTGACGGCCAGAAGATCGATGTTCCAGCACGTGGTGTCCGGAAACGGTTCAAACCTGGTGACCATGTGAAGGTAATGACAGGTCAAAATGCAGACGAAACTGGTCTCGTTGTCTCCGTGTCAGACAATGTCGTCACTTTCTTATCTGACATGTCAATGCAAGAGGTGAGTTCTGACTCCCTGTGGTTCTGTGGGCCGTCCTTAGCGTTCTTTCCACTTCGAGGTATCTGTGTTCTCGAAAGACTTGCGTGAAGCTGCTGAAGTCGGTTCCGGCACCAACATCGTTGGTAATTACGAGCTGCATGACTTGGTTCAGCTTGAGTATGTTCCGATTTTATTCGAGGACGTACCATGATTAACCATGTTCCAACCAGTTTGCAAACTGTTGGCGTAATCTTTAAGACAGAGCGCGACTCCTTCAGAGTACTTGATCAAAATGGCCAGGTGCGACTGGTTCAGCCGCACCAAATCTCGATGCGTCGAAATTCCGATCGTGCTATCGCCACTGATTCTGAAGGACACGAGTTGCGTCCTCAAGATAACATGAAAGAAATCGACGGCGAGGTGAGCCATCTTCACTACAGAGGAAGGTATTACAGCTGACGTTTTTCCCAGGGTCGTAAAGGACGAGTCCTCCATATACACCAGTCCTTCTTTGCATTCCTTCACAACCGAGATATCACCGAAAATGGAGGCGTCTTTGTTACGCGGGCCCGATCTCTCGCATCGCTTGCACCTAAAGGGAACCTTCTAAAAACCGGCACCGATCTTGGAAAGATGAACCCAGCCGTTGCTGGTGGTGCTGCGACAGGAGGCATGGTCGGCTCGGGCACAATGGGGCGCGGTCCGC